AGTAAATTGTGCATTACGGAGTCTTGAGAATAAAGATGTATGTGGATTACGAAGTCTCGAGAATAAAGATGCCTGTGCTATAACGTATTTAATCTAAAAAATTTACATAACCGTTTGTATACATATGTAGATATAATACGTTAATTATATATACATATATAACTTATAAATATGTGCATAGGCAACTTCAAGTTCTCTATAAAGCAAGAATAGATATACGTTAATTGACCGTGATAACTCTGTGATACCCGTACGAAGAAATTATTTTAGGTGTCGGAGATAATTGACATATAGTTTCATACAACCTCTTGCTTATGTCTAATATCATTTTATACCTACATTATGTGATAGTTACCACATAAATCTAAAGGAGTTTTACTGAAAATGATGGCATCACAAACCAATTTAGCTACCACAATCCTATTAGTCTATCCTAATTAGGGAAATTTTCCATAGCTTCTATACTTTCTGAAATATACCCAAATAAATTTTGAAGTTGTATGGCAGCTACCTAAACCAGTACCTCGATCATATTCTATTTGAATAGGGTTCTAGCATTTACTATAATTTGCTAAACTTAGTTCTATTAGTTTTTGAGTTATGGTTGGGACGGACTGACAGACATAATTAACTCGACTTAGAATTTGACGCTGATCGAAAAAATATACTTGAGTTTATATCTCAAACCATTATTTCTTAGCATTACAAACAGTAAACATAAATCTCCAATATTGTTGGTCGCATCATTGATTAGGTGAAAACTTATATTACTCGTATATATTACGTATGTATTTTGTTTTCCAGTACAGAATTTTAAATATTGGAATTGTTTTTATTTAGAAAATTACTAAATATTTTTACAGAATATGGGTGATGCAATATTATAAAAAATATTTCTAAATTTCGAAATCATTACAACATTTCGTTTATAGATTTTGATTTTAATAGTTCATTTATTCGTTTATTCTCCAAAATGAAGTATGTATGTATTACTACGGTATGTATTACTGAATTTAGAAGCCAGGGTACATATTTATGTATGTATGTTGTACAAAATTCTAAAATAAAAGACTATATTTTGAACAGCTTTTGTAGTAATTATGTACATATATACACTTATGTACATACAATAGAAGTAAAAACTAATGCTCAAATTTTCGATGAGAATGCCAAATAATTCAAATTGGAAGAGAATTAAAAAGACCAAACATGAAAGGTTGAACGACAAACTGAGCAGAAAAAACAAATAAGTACTTGATATAAATGTTATATAACAGCTACACCCTGAAGCAAGTCGATTTTATTGTTGTTTTAAATAAAGTTCTTGTATACGATTTAATTCATAGCTCGAGAAATATTAATGGAACTCCGACGTTATTTACACGACGTCTACAATTTATGGACAAAGCATCATACCTCACTTGCTTCATTCTGTTTATGTATAAATAATTTTGAATCTATAATCAAATTTCTTTTTAAACCTTAATTTTTATTTAAGATCATAAATTTTATAAATTGTTACAAATGAAAGTAGAAAACAATTTTATTTCAAATTTCTTGCTTCGAATAACAACAATATTACAAAAGTTACTTCTTATATTTAATATTTTAATTCTAAATTTAAGGTATACTTGAAAAACCTTTTTTTTACATTTGTAAACAATTTTCATTAATAACGAATTATTTTTATAATTAACATTTTTACATAATTTTCTGTCTACAAAAATTAATAGTATTTAAAAGACTGTTAAATGAAAATTTAAAATTTCACCTACCTGTAAAATATTCTATAAGAAATACATAAATTTTTACTTTCTTAAAGTATGCATGTAATGCAATTGCAATAATTCTTTGTATAATTGGCAAATAACAGAATGTAATAAGAATTTGAACATTTTCAAAATAATTTTATTCTTGAATATTGACATTTTTTTAATTTTATAAAACTATCAAGCACAGAGCTGTAGAAAAACTTGTAAAATCTTCAAAAATTTCATTTGCTGTTGTAATATTTTATTATACTGTTGATTCATAAGTATGTACATATATATGTTTCCTGTAACTGTGTACGTACATTTACTATTTATTTTTAAAATAACAGATTTTTTATTGAATGCATACAAAAACTTATAATCTAATGGTAGAAAAATTAATAGTATTTTTTTCTATATATTGTTTTTTTTTGATATTTTTAATTTTATCATATTCCGTACAAATTGGATGGTAAGTTTCGCTGTTTATTTTATTCAACATTATGTAGTATGTGTAGATATGTATCTGATACAAAAATGGGTCCTGTAACATTCATACTGCTGGTTTGGTTTTAAGTTACTTGTTATGGTATTCCTTATTTTGTTTCCCCTTATTTTAGCCTTCTTCTATACTCTTAATGGGATGGTTATATTGGCAACACTATGCACTTAAATTTAAAATAATTATGAAAGCAAACCATTTTTTTATGCTTCAATTGAGCAGAATAGTTTGTGTCTTCCAAAGTTTGAAATTTTCCATAACTTTACTGTTAAAACAGTTTTGGTAGTTTCAGATTGCTAATGATTGTTTTTATTTTACAGAATCATTTAATCAATATTATTTTTCAACATTTTGTTGTTCAACCTCTTGCAATTTTATACTGCAAACGTTTCAGTGTAAAAATCAAATTAATTTAAATTTCAATTCCAAGAATATCGAATTGAAGAATGAATTAATTAATCAAATTTACGTGTTTGATGTTAGTAACTAATTTTTTCTTGGATGACATCAGCTTTATTATAAACGTGTTTCTACACCAAATTGTCTTTCATTTTGGAATGAAAACAAATCATAAATATTGAGCTATCAACCAATAAACCATGCTGTTGAATTTTCTTTTATTAATCAGATTTAATCTATTTATTTTGTTCTTTTCAAATCTTTTTCAAATGACTCTTCTAACGAATTCTTTACAAATTTTATTTTCCAAAAAACAAATTTGAAACGTCAACCATTTTAATCCTTTCCAACATCAGTTTCCAACTTCATTATGTTTAACATTATCCAACAGTAGAAATTTATAATACACATAAGATTTCGGAAATAAGAAGAACAATATAATATGTAAAGCCATTTTTTTTATGTTAGTTACTTAACGTAAGTATTCTAGATTAAGATTAATATTTATGAAAATCAAGCTGTACAATCATTGAATTCAATTACTTTTGAATAATAATAATAATAGTTAAAAATTTTTTAATTTTTGCTCATAATTATATTAATACGTATACAATCAAAGATTGAAAGTAAATATTTAAAATTTATTTTTTATCATACTGTATTCATTGTTCCGCCTTACGTATGCTGTAGTTGTGCATGTGTATTTTATTTTACAGAAATAGAAAAATTAAAGCGTCTTTTAAAACAGATTGCCTTAAAGAGACAAACCAATGAATTCAGCTTTAGTTTTTCTATTTAATTGAATAGTATTTCTTCTACTGCATTTCGTGCAAAGTTTACAAATACTTAAAGTTAATGTCGTCGCTATTATTGTAATTTTTAAAAAACCAATTTTTTTTATATTTAAAAATGTACATTTTCCTTTAAATTTTTATGGTTTATTTTTTTTTACAATTTGAAAAATTATTTTAAAATTTAATGAAGAATAACAAATTTAGTTTCTCTAGAAAATTAATAGAAATTTTGTAATCACGAATTTGATGACAAATTTAATGTGTGCCAACAATTTATATCTGATTCTGTTTTCTTATAAGGCTGTTTAAATAATTTTAAAGTTTAGATTGCAAAAATATTTCTTTAATTTAAAAAACAGTGATATTTTTAGTTTTATTTTGCAAAAATTTCTATACAAAAATTTACATTAACCATTTTTCCAAAAATATAATTTTAACAATTTCTATCACGAATTCGTATAAATTGTTGGGTTACTGCTTGAATCTAAAAGCATTTTCATACAAAAAATTTTAGTTTTTACTGCTAAAATTTTTTTTTTGCAAAATCAATGGAAAATCAATGGAATCGTGTGGAATTAATTTAATTTTATAGTGATGCAATAATGTAGATTTAATAATATTGTAATTTCTTGGCACTTCTAGATAGTTTTTACAAAGTTCTTTAACATTGTTATTCTTAAAATTGCCATTAAATTACAAATTTTCTATGCCGAAATTCAACGAAAAAAGTTAAAAAAAAATAGTATAAGGTCAATTTAAATTTTAACCAACTCATACTGAAAATACTTTATCGTCAATACTTAACAAGTATCTAGAATTTTTTCCAAATGGTGTTTTCTGTGCGTTTCACGACGCATTTTGTTCAATTCAGAATGCTTGACTTACACTTTTTTTTAAATTATTAGAACGTATCGTAATTGTATCGATATTTTGTAAAAAGTCATTATTATCTTTTAAAGCATTTCATTTCTACAAAAATATAAAAAAAATTTCAAAAAAACTAGTAAGGCATAGTTTTTTGGGACTTTCTCTCTGCTTGCTATAAATTTTTCTCACTTAGAAATACAGGCAGTATTTCACATACTTAGGATATTAACTGCAAATTGGAATTTACAATGAATATTTTTTTTTAATAAAATCTTTTAATTTTCGATCCGCACATTTATGTAAATTTGAAATTAATTAATTATTTTTAATTTTTTAAATGTCGATACGAAAAATTAAGACATTTTTTTTGTTCTCATTTTTTTTTTTTTGAAAATGAAAAATGGAGAAAAATTTTATTATCAACGTTTTTAAAAATTTTAGAAATCAACGTTCTTGAAAAAGTGAAAACAGTAAAATTTCCTGATATATCGATCTAGAAATCCTTTAGACTTAAGTCTACCGAAAAAACTTGAATTTTAAAAATGTTAGAATAAAATCTGGTGTTAAAATATAAAAAAAAATAGTCTCCTCATCTGAAATAAATAAAAAGAATTTTATATAAAAAATTTTTGAAATAATAAAGGTTTTTAAAATTGAAAATAAATTATGCGTTCTTAATATCAATTTTTACATTTTCCTCCTTTTTCGTTTTGAAGAAGCTTTTGAATACACATCAGCTCCTTCTGATTGGTAATATCCCATTTGCCCCTGTCTAAAAATTTCCTCTGGAGAAAAACTTCTGATTGTACTTATTGCACTTTTAATTTGTTGTTTTTGTTCTAATTTTTCTGGGTCAGTTTTTTCTAAACTCTTTTCTAAAACGTCTAAATAAGATGTTCGCATTCCTTGTATATTTTCATAATTTTCCAAAGCGGATTTGCTGAAGTCACATTTATACTGATTTTGGTTGTTGAAGTGGTTTTCTTGATATCTGTCAATAACTCCGCCAATACCGTGCCAATCATTCCCATACTGTGGTACTATTTGAGTATGACCCAAAATGTTGTTAAGTTCTTGAGAATGTTTTTCGTGTTTCTTCAAAGGTTCAGAAACTTGACCTCTAACCACGTGAGCAGCTGGGAATTCTACTGAACCTGAACGATCTTGAGTTTCACTCCGACCCCCTTTGACGATATCATTTCTTTCTTCTTCAGAAATTCTTTGAATTGTCCCGTCTACACGCACCATACGTAAGAAACGATCTACAAAGTGAGTATCAACATGTTTTATTCCAAGTTCATCGACAGATGTTGGTGATGATTCTGGATCACTAACTTCGCATGATTTTCTTCTTTTTTTTTCTCCACCAAACGCGCCTAATTGTAAAGGAACCGAATGCCAATTTTGTTGAATGTGGTATTGTATTTCAGGATCTTTTTCAATATGATCTGCAACTGCGTTCCTAAAATCTTGGCTGCTCATACCTCTGAGCTGAGGTACGGCTTGTATTAACGCTTCATACAAACAGTTATTCAATGAAGAATCGTCTATATTACTTGATGCATTATTATTCTCAAAAAGAGTAAAATGATTATCTTTAATATTTAGTTTAATAATTTGAGTTTCACCTTCATTTGATGTTGAAAAAGTTTGTTGTACACCATTTTCTGTTTCAACAACAACAGTTATATTTTTATTGATTCCTTGATTTTTTAATATTTTAGTTACTACTTTAGCACATGCGCCAACGCAAGTTATATCCATTTCAACATTTTCTCGAACTATGGCAGCAAATAATTTTGGATTTCTAGTTTTAATAGCCAGTTCTCGTAAACTTTTATGATATTTCTTTGTAATGTGATTTTTAACGTCAGAATCATCCCCAGATTTTCCATTATTTTGTAGTTCTTTTTCATAATCGTTTTTAAGATTTTTATAACGATTAAAATATTCACTTTCCTTGTAATATCTGTATGCCTCTTTCAATTTTTCCCCAGCATAAGTAATTAATTTATGGGTTCCTTTAGTAATAACAGGTTTGACAATGTGTTCTTCTATGAACTGCTCCATTTTTCCACAAATTACTGCTTTTAACTGATCATTTGCATTTTTTTTAAATGTTTCAAAATCTTTTTCATTCGCTTCCATCTCGCATTTGGGATTTTTGTCAGTTTTTATTTTTGATTTACTATTAATTTTTTCTCTAATTTGTATGTCTATGGCATTTAAAGAATCAATAGTTACTTGAGATATTTTCATAATATGATACCCACGTTCTGTCCAACGTAAAGCTTTTGTTAAAATGGTGATAGTAAACATGAAATCATCATCTCTTTCGTTCAATTTTTTGAATCCTTCTCCAATTCCACGAACTAAACTTTCTGCGGCCTTGTTGTATGTAGATAATAAAGTTTCCGTGAAATCTTTTTTTTTTAAATGGGAATCTAATACTTGTCTTAAAATTTCATTCGCTTTGTTTTCACCAAATGTATCGAACAATTCTTTCACACTTGCAGAAATTTTATGATTGTCTATTTTGTTTTTCGTGTCTGATAAAATATCAAAAGCTAGCCGTTTGCAATATGCTCGCAAATTGTTTTCAATTACATAATCAATTCCAGCATTAGCCAAGCTAAATGTGATACCTTGAAAAGTTTTTAGCATAATACGCTTAGTTACGGCCACTCCTACAGATTTTAAACCCACAGCTTTAATAAGTTCTGAACCATACATTTCTGCAACTTTTTTTCCTTTTATAGTAATATCCGGACCAGCCAATTTGCGTCCATACCGTGAAACTTTTGTGCCAGCGGAAAAAATTGCACCTACACCTATAGTGGCAGCTGTGAACGCTATACTCTGAAGTTTGTGAGTTCCATAATCTTTCCAATTAAAATAACCTGATTTTAAAGCGCCAGCAGCAAACATAATGTCGCTTATGCCCTCGCTAATAACACCAGATGCCAAGTGAGTTGCAAAACCACCGAAGTATAATTCTATTATTGAACCTATAATTATTTGGCTGATTCCTAGTGATATTACTATAAGAGTATTGAAAATCATTTCTCGAGTCCATTTTTTCTCTTCTAGTTGTATTACATCGTTTAATCCATTCAAAAAGAAATTTTCCATTTCTTCTACATTTGAAAAATCGCCTTGATCAAAAAACTTTGTCAATTCTTTTAAATTAAATTCGGGAACTTTATATGCCTTCAATGAACTTCTTACACTCTCTAAAATTTTGGTTACGTTGTTAATAATGTCTTCTTTACATAATTTTTCATCAATAAGATTGCGATTTTTCAAATTGTTTAAAATAGTTTTAATTTCTTCATTTAAAGATTTTTTTGTTCTCAAAACAGTAGCTAATTTAAAAAGCCTTGCTTCCAAAAGTTTAGCTAAGAGTTCACTATAGGGATTACTAGCTAGATTTATCCAAATACAAGAATTGTTTTCTTTTTTTTGTTTTATAAGTTTTTGGAAAGCAATTCTATAAGTAAAGCACGCACGTAAAAGTTCTTGAACAGAATTTTCATAGACAGAACTATTTAAGTGAATGTTTTCAATCTCATCATATTTTATTTCCAGTTTATACATTGTACTTTCTCCGGCATTTTTTATTTTAAGAATATTGTTTTCTACAAGTTCTAGTAAAATTTTTTCTGCCTCATTTCGTTTAATATCTACTTTAGCAAAATCTTCTAATGTGATAAAATCGAAAGAAGGAAAGTTTATAGAATCAATATTACTTAAATCAATCATTGCAGCCTTCGCAAGATTTATCACTCCATCCTTTTCAAGTTTTTCATACACATTTGCTTCAATAAACTTTAAAAAACAGTCTTTCTTGAAAATTTCGAAGTCGACTTGAGCAAATGTAACTGCTTTTTCTACATCAAAAAATACGATTCCGTCTTCAAAGTTAATTTTTTCTTTCATTAAGTTGCTTTTATTTTTTTCGTCAGTTAATGTTGGATCCAGTTCATCAAACTTTTTCTTATTTAGTACAATATATTTGGATTCATCTCTTAGAATATTTTCGTTTAATAGAAATTCCCAAAATTCTTCCTTATTAGGTAACCTTATTTCTTCCTTTAACATTTTTTCAAATTTTTCTTCACTGCTAATATTTTTACATTTTAAAAGAAAATCATTCAGCTTTCTTGCTGATATTCCATAACCTACGGAGATGTTTGCAATTTCCTTTTCGGAAATATTTTTTTTTACATGTGGCTTTTTTAAAATATTTTCTTTAATTAGTTCTTCATGTATACATTTGGATGATTTCTCATCAGTTATTTCATGAAATTGTTGCAAAGTTATAAACTTACCAAAAATTTCATCAATGGAACTTGAAAAAAGTTGATATAAAGCGACTTGCTTGTTTTTTTGTTCTTCATATGCATTAATTTGAACAATGCCTTTACTCTTATTTTTTACTTTACCAATTACTCCAGCGTAATACATAAAGAATTTACAATTTTCATCGAAAAGTTTCGCAGCTTCACGTAATTCATTTTTGAATTCTTTAACACTTTTCTTATTTTTTTCTGCCGAAGACTCCCAATCAATTTGTTTGGCAATTGTATATGCTTTATAATAATGTGCCGCCTCGGAAAAGCTTGGCTCTTGTTTGATTATATTATTGAGTAAATTTATACTTTCGCCAAATTTTTCATTACGAGTAAAAAACTTTGCAAGTTTAATCATTTTAACCGGACTATCGCTTACCCAATCTTGTAAGTTTTGAACACTATCGCATTTTAAATTTCTTAAACATTGAAGAAATTCTCTCAACGAATTGTTAAAAAATATTGTTACTTCACTATTTTTTAATGTTTTTATCTGCAAACTATGTTTATTGAGCCAGAATGCCCACTTGTCCAAACAGCTTTGTAGAAGAAGCTCTCTAAGTTCATTTTTGTATTTCAGATTTTTCAAATCATATTTATTTGGCATTTCAGTGAAACCCAGAGTATTAGCAACACTAACTGCTACATTTTCGATTTCTTCAACCACCGATTTATCTTCCAAGGCAATGGATAATGATTTATTCAACTGAATATATTCCTCTTTGAAATTTTTAAAGCAATTTTCTTCAGTAATAATTTGAGTTTCATAATAAGCTTTAACTTCTGATATATGATGCAATTCTTCTGCGTTACGTTCAGCCTTTAAAGCAAATATTTTGGAATTATTTAAGTTTTCTTGTGTCGCAGTTTTAACAATCAATTGGCCTGAGTCTTTATCGCCACATCTTCCTGCCCGACCAAAAGCTTGTTCTTCTATGCGAACATTTTTGGGTAAGTAAGTTAAACAAACATGCAACCCTCCTGCCTCTTTTAATTTCTCTTTTAGTTTTATATCTGTTCCTCGACCAGCTAAATTTGTTGCAATAATAATTTGTTTTTGTTCTAATTCTTGATTTCCTTGAGCAATATTAAACTCTTCATAATCTCGTGTATATGTATAAATTTTATTCTTAGTTTTTTTCCCAATAAAGTTGTATAAAGAATCAACATCATTCACAGTCTCAAAAATTATCAAAACCGATCGATTTTCGTTTTCCACAATGGATTTTGTTTGTTTATAAATAGAATTTATCCACTCTTCTTTGGTTGAACAAACGATATGTTCACTTTTAACAAACTGTTTTGATCTGGCTGTGGGAATAATAACGAAATCAACGTCATGTAACTCTTGCAGAAAATCCTTTTCTCTTTGTGATCCTAAAGTTCCTGTCATCCCATAAAGTTTTTTATACATTTTAAAGAAGGATACGTTCGAGATAAAAACTGCTTTTAAATTTTGTAGCGATAGTTTACATCCGTGTTTAAGCTGTAAAAATTGATGCAACGCTTCATCCCATTGTGAATTTGATTGATCTGTTCCCGTATCCCTATCAATTATGGTAATATTAGGATTACGATCAGGGTTCATTTTTGTTCTATCTACATCGACAACGTAATCCTGTCCAGGTTTCATAAAAAATGCTGTGATGGCACTAGAAATCCAAGTCTCAAGATGTTCTTCCACAAATGGTTTTAAGTAATTTGGGAGTCGAACTTGTTTCTCTCTTTCCAAAAATTCCTTAAAAAAATAATACGCACATTCGGTATAGTATTCAAATTCAGTAGAAAAGGCATTAATAAAATTTTTCTGAGTAACATTTTCCTTAATAATTACACCATGATGATCTAATATTTCAACTCTCAGAAGCCGTTCCCAAATAACTTGTATTTGTTCTTGACTTAGTTTAGAATCAAAGTTCTTTATATCGTCGCTTTTGACTGCATCATATAATTGAGATAAAATTGCTTTTTTTATTACTTTTACGTTAAATACATTGGACAGTTCACTATAAGAACTTACTGGTTTATTAACCCATTGCCAAATATAAACGTAAACCGACTCTAGTTTATCAAAATCTGGCATGTCATGTGATAAATATAGCATGTTATTACCTTTATCAAGCAACATGCTGTCTACTTCGTCAACGATGATGTTTTCACGAGCACGATCACCCAGAATATTTTTTTGATATTGGGTGTATGCATTGAAAACCGAACTTTTTTGGGATAAAAATAATGCTTTATTTTATTGATATAATGAAATAACATGTTATTCAAAATATTGTCCATCGTTTGCGATCACTTTTTCCCACTTTTCTGGTAACAAATGAATTCCGCGCCGGAAAAAGGCTTCATCTTTCGAGGCGAAAAATGAATCAAGCCAATTTTTGATACCTTGCTCAGAAGTGAAGGGCATTCCAGTGAGGGCGTTTTGCATCGAACGAAATAAATGGTAGTCGGATGGGGCCAAGTCTGGTGAGTATGGCGGGTGAGGCAAAACTTCCCAGCCACTGTTTTCCAGGTAATTTTTGACCGGTATAGCAACGTGGGGCCGAGCATTGTCATGATGGAAAATTACAGACTCGTGCCTGGTCGCATATTCCGGCCGTTTTTCTGTCAATGCCTTCTTCAAACGAATTAATTGTTGTCTGTACAGCTGTGCCGTAATAGTTTGACCTGATTTCAGCAACTCGTAGTGGATTGGTCCCCTCTGATCCCACCAAATACTAAGCATTACCTTAGAGCTTCACATATGATTTCTTTCGCTTCGGGTTATCATAATGTATCCATTTTTCGTCGCCAGTAATAATTCGATGCAAAAACGACTTCTTTTTGTAGCGTGCAAGGTGCATTTCGGACATGCAAAATCGCCTTTCGACATCTCTTTGTTTCAGTTCGTGTGGCACCCAATTTCCTACCTTCTGAATGAACCCGAGCGATTTCAAACGCCTGGAAATGGTTGCCTGTGACACGCCAAGTGCTTTTGCGAGCTCATCTTGCGTTTGGCACGAGTCTTCACTGAGTAGGGTCTCTAATTCTTCGTCTTCAAATTTTTTCTCTTGACCAGGGCGCTCTTTGTCCTTGATGTCGAAATCGCCACTTTCAAAGCGTTTGAACCACTCAAAACACTGTGTTCTCGATAGAGCATCGTCACCATAAACCGCCACCAGCAAACGATGACTTTCGGCAAAAGTTTTCTTCGCGAAAAAGTATCCCAACAATACTTCCCGCAAATGCTGTTTTTTACGCCAATTTTCGAAGTTCTCCATAACGGTAAAAATCTTACGCGCACTCAACGTTAGCGAATAGTCTTTGTGGCTTTGACAACTAACCGATGGTACTTTAAAATGACTTATATGTCATTGAAGTATGACAGCGCAGGTGTTAGTAGGGCCATCTGTTGTGAAAGTTCGGTTTTCAATGCATACACCCAATAAAATTCATGTAGCAAATAGTCCCGTTGAAAATTAGATAAATCTCCATATACCACATTACTCCAATAGGATTTTTTCCTTATTTCGATATCCTCATTGCAATTATGTGATACACTAATATTAAATAGGCTATAAATATCTTTATTTTCTTCAGCGTCTCGTTTTGCCAAAACAGAAGAACTGGTTATGATATCGACTTTTTGGTTACAAAGTGCTTTGGCAATCGATATTGCTACAACAATTAAAGATTTACCTTCACCAGTACAAACTTGTGCTAATGTATTACGTTTATTCAATAATAAAGTCATTACAGCTAATTTTTGTGTATCACGAAGCTTGAACTTTCTTTTCAATTGTATTGCTCGATCGATTACTGCTACTACATCTTGAATATTTTCAAGAATAGCACTACCTTTGGCTTTCTTTGCCCAATTCTGAATATGGCTTTCTTCAAAATTATTTGAAAAATCAGTAGGAAGCAATATTAGTTTTTCAATTTTTGACAATATTTCACAAATTCCTTTTGACGTATTAGCATTCTTTCTTATTAATTTGTTTAATTGGGTTACATTGCGTTCTCTTTCGTTAACGAAAAATTTCTCATTCATTTTTTTGATCCAATCTTCAATCTTGATGTTTTTTATTTCATTTACCTCTTCTATACCCAAAATCCATTTTTCGTTGTAAAAATTGAACAAAATATGAATGAACACATGTGATGATGTATTTTTATTTCGAAGAACTTTTAAAAATTCCTCTATTACACTAGTTCCAGTAACATTTTCTATAGAAAGGAGAAAATAAGTAGCTTTTGATATATCTTCATCATTAATATTAGTGATTAAAGATGATATTTTATGTCTCCAATAACTTTCTTTAAGAGCATATGGCCACTCAGATAACTCTAATTTTTCTAAATTTTCTGTTGATTTCAGTGGAATATTACTCAACAAATATAAAGTATCTTCAATACACTGACAAGAAATTGAAATTCCACTACTACACTCGTTTAATTTTTTATAAAACAAAAGCAATAAGGTTTTATTTTCAATTCCGTTTAAATACTTCCTCCACTTTATTTTCTCTTTCAACAATCTTTTGAAATAATCTTCAATTTTTAACAAAATTAATTCATCTATCCAATTTTTTTGAGAATGAGCTGATATAACCCAATCCAAGATATTTAATTCATTTTTATCTTCTGATACACATTCAAGAATTGAGTTTATTAAACAATACATTTCCTGACAAGATATATTTCTCCCCTCATACATGAGACGTTGTGATATATGAAATAAAATGTCACTATTCCCAATGAACGTCAATTTTTCAAGCCTTGAGTTTAAATCAATTTGCTCATTTTCAGGAAAACATTGTGAGATCGTCTTCATATATTCTTTTTCATGCAAATGTCGTTCTTTTTTTATTTTTTCATTTTCAATAAATCTTTTATAGTTCAAATTTTCTAAATAGCTTAGCAATCTTTCGTTTTGCTCAAAAGATCTATGATCAATAAAAACCTTCGAATACAGCATTTCTTTTGTTTTTATTTTTCGACTAGGGTTCAAATAGTTTTCACCAATAAAAAATTGTGTGAATTTCTTATCTCTATACAACACATAAATACTTTGCTTGGAAAATGGGTTGTGATTATTTTGCAAGACTAATTTATTTTCTTTTCCTACCATATAAAGATTTATATTAACGTCATATATATATGCCAACAATTCTCTATAGCTTTCCGAAAATAATTGTTGTTTTTTTATATGCTTTACATATTCCCTGTATATTGATTCATCCTTCAAATAATCGGAATTTAAATCACATAATTGTGCACTATTACTCAATAAAATCTGCTCTTTTCTAAGCGAATTATGATATTTTTTGTAAAGTTGTTTTATAATGTCATTTGTTTCGTTCGAATTTCCGACTTCCAAAATGAAAGTTCTTAAGGAACAATACAAGCTTTTAAAATCTATTTCAAAGATATCGAAAGTTTTGTTTTCATTGAAAAATTTATTTTTTTCTAAATAACTATCAAACTCTTCTTTTTGTTTTAATTGATAAATCTCGCTTAAAATAGAAGCATAAAAATAGTTTTCCTTTAGACGACTTCTTTCAAGCTTGAAAAAATTTTCATCAACATGTAATTGTATAAATTTTCCAAACTCAACTACTAAATGAACACTATTTTTACAAGAAGGATTATGATTGGTCAATAAAAAGGATTCCTCCTCATCGTTTTCATACAAAATGATATTTACATCAAATATACGAGAAAGTATTTCCCTATAGCTATTCGATTTTAAACCAATCTTTTCAATGTAACTAGTAAATTCTTTTAATAGCAATTCATTTTTCACACATTCGTCTTCTAATTCCGAATATGGTTCTAAGTCTGTACTCCATTGCAGCTCTTGGTTTTTCAAAAAATTTTTCAATTTGATATAATATTCTTGAATAAATTTTTGTTTTTCATCTATTGCGTTAGTTTCTCCCAATTCAAACACAAATATTATTAAGCAACGTTTTAATGTAACGTATAGTCCTTCATCTTTTTTAATGTTAAGACAAAGTTTAGAGATTGTCTTGCGCAGTTCTATATTATCTTCATTAAAATATCGAGATAATGGTTGCAAAGCAGGATGAATAATGCTGTTACAATTTTCTTTTTTGTCAGTCAAATATTCTAATAAGTCAATGATACAATCTGAACTATTTTCAACACGCCAATCAATTGGTAAAAATTTTACCATTTCTTCCAAAGAAGCTAATCTATATTTCTCGATTAAAATGCTGTATATAATACGTTGCAAGCTTTGAAAATTGTCACGTTCTTGGACATTATGTATTTTATTCGATAATATTTGAAAAAGTTTATTAGCTTCCAATATATTTATATTAATATTTTTTATTTTTAACCATTCCTCGGTAACGCAAGGATTTTCATTTAAATTTTTAAACAAAACATCATTTTTAGTGTCTTGGTTAAAGATTTCGCTTACTTTATTGACAGGCGCTCTTTGCAGTTTGTTTGTTTTTCTAGGATTAAAAGTTTTTTGAATTCTTATTTGTATACTGCGGTTCTCTTTCTGTTCTTGGTTATCAATAATTTTTTGTAAGCTTTCTTTAGTATTATGAAATTCAGATGTTAAATTTTGAAATTCAGATGTTTTTACAGAGGAAAAATAATGTGAATATTTCGCTAAAATACTATCTTCCGATATAAATTTTTTTCTCGTAGCACTTGCATGCCTTTGTCGATCACTAACTAATTTGCTACCAGTTGCTTTCTTAAAATTTTTCTCATATTTCTGAACATTCCTACGAGTTTCAACTGTAAGATACTTCTCTTTGTAAGAGCAATATATACTACTACCAGGATCATTATTGCGATACACAAGATTACACTTACTATCTTCATTTTTACCATAAAATATCGGCTCACTCCAAAATTGATAGTCAATATATGCGATATCCCAGCCATCTTTACCCCATTTACCATATAAACCTCCTTCTCCGTTCTCCCCATCATTTCCTACGTATTGAATTTTTTTGACCTTAATATTTTCGTTATTTTGTGTATTTTTGATGCATATGTCACCAAAATATCCGCCTTGACCACCCAAACCGCCATTTCCACCCTTCCCACCTGGAACACCTGGTGTTCCTTCGTACAAAATACAGGCTCCCATTCCTATCTCACCTGAACTTGCATTGAAAACGAAAGTAATTTTATTTCCCTTTTCGGTTTTTGCTTCCATAAAAATAGCACCTTGAAATATATTACGATTACTGCTCCAATTCGTTAATATTTTTGTATTATCCCTCACGCTTTCAATATTTTTATCTATAAGGGCTTTTCTTCCATATCCAAACTTAAAGTCAAATAATAAGCATGGTGGTGGGAATGCATTCTCAAATTGATACCAACGAATACCATCACCATCTTCACCATTCCTTCCGTGACCTCCGTCTTGTCCTTTACTACCATTTCCTCCTGTCGACCATATCGTAAAATTTTCAGAATTTTCTATTATTTCTGAAAGTATTAGTACATTTCCACCACTCTCGCCAGCATATCCGTCTTTCCCCTCCTCACCATTACCATCACTTCCAGTGGACGCATTTTTGGAATAAGCGAAATTCTCGGGTTTTCCTGAAAAGTTCCAAGTAACCTTACCATATATTTTTATTTTTCTGGCATATATAACCATATTTTTTCCATGCCAAATATTGTTTACTAAATCCCTATCAATATGAATTAGATCAGCACCAACAAGCCTAACTTCTTCAATTCTAGAATTTTTTGAAAGCAAAAGCTCTAATTCTTTTAAAATTCGACTAACAAAAATGTTTTTTCCATTTATTTCAATAATTAAACGACCATCAATTTCTTTGGTTTCAAAACTTATTTTTTTAGTATAAGCACGTATGACTTCTTTTAATTGATCATATAAGTAAAAACCACTATCTTCAATTAAGCAAACGGCGGAGTTTTGTAGCGGCAAAAATTTTTCTCCACAAACGCGTTCATCGAAATTTCTTATAACATTAATTAACATCGGCAACGGTAAATCAATATCATTCACTTTTTCTAAAGCATCAATAAATGATTGAGGATAGTCACATGTTTTTAGGAAATCTATGAAATTATGTAAAAATGTCAATTGATTTTTAAAACTATCACTATAAGTAGACAATTCTTCAAGGCAATTCCTTTTGAAATAATATATAATTTCATTCTCATCCATATCATTTAGTAAGGCAAAGTGATTCATTAAAATTTTGTAGTATTCCTGTTGGTTTAATGATTTTGGAATATCTTTTAAATAACGCATTCCACCAACTGAACTGAAAATTCCTTGAAGAATTGTATGGCAATTATTTCGATCATATTCTTTTAACAAATCAGTATTTCCTTTAAGCCAAAGTTCAATACAATTTTCCAAAAATTCTCTTTCGATAAAGGCACTGTCAACGTTATTGAGTGTTATTTTATAGAAATCCGAAATAAAAGTTTTAATTTCTTTTAAATCATTTTTGTATTCTTCAATTCTTGTTTTGATAATTTCTTTAACAGTACGTTCTTTATTTTCATTTACATTTGTATTTAGATTTGCACACCGTACAAAAAGATTTTCAGCTGCTTTCACATATTTTTCACTTATTATATTTTCATTCCCTAATTTGTATGCTTCTGATAAATACATTGATATATCCGCCATTAACCACAAATCTTGAGAACTATGTATTGCTAACATGTCTTCCAATGTTATAATTAATCTTATTAGTCTTAAAGACTGCACTTTACTTTCAAAAACAGTTTTTTCATCGCAAGATAGGCGTTCCAAATTGATCTCATCGATATACCCCAAATTGACACATAACGTAATATATTCATTCAAATTTAAAATTGAACATTGAATTAATTTTTCTTTTTTTTTGTCTATTTCAGTTAAAAACTTTTCACAATCATCTTTTAATTGCTGCGTTTTTTCAGAATATTTTTCTTTTGGAATCGTTTTTAAAATCTTGATACATTTTTCAAAACACACTTTAACGCCTCCCAAATCGATTTTATATTTTTCGAATAAATTTTTATTATAATAACAAGCTATACCGTAATAATGATAAGCTAAAATTTCACAATTTTGTAAAAGCAATGGAGTTGTTTTACTACAATCTTCTTTTAAATTTTTCTTTAATTCTTGATATTTCTCATGTATTTCTTGTAAAAAAGATGGTAACAAGAGTTCATGTTTTGAGAAATTCTTTATTAAATTTAAATATTCAATAGATTTTTGATAATTAAATAAAGGATGTATATTATTTAAGTTATTTATTACTTTTAGTTTTGCAAGTTCAAATTGTTCTTGTCTATTATTTACGTTCGACGCGGTAGATAACATTTTTACCGTATTTTTGCTCGTATTTAAATTAATTTTTTTTAATATCCCCACGTAGTTTCTCTAAAATATTATCCTTTTCTATAATTTTTTTTATAAAAATATATAACTATAAAAATACATACTTTATGATCGTTAAGCTTTTTTTTGTTACGTTACTTCAAAATATAGCACGTGTGCTTACATGTACACCTACATAAGTAAATCTATTTACTTACTTGTGTTTATTTTCACTCGTAAATTTCAATTTAGTTTATAAATAAATGTTTTACAATATAATTTTATAATTTATCCAAAATAAAAATTAAATTTTTTTATATTAATTTTCAAAAATTTCAATAAATTTTATTCACAAAATAATAATAATATGCGGACAAAATACAAACGAATCAACCTAAATACCAAAAAGTACTGGACTTAGTATATTTTATGTGAGATTATTTATAAAAAAAAAGCTTTTCAAACAAATTGGAAAATAGATATGTGTGTATGTATATAAGTACATACAAAATTTATTATCATAAACTTTAATAACGATTATGTATAATATATATATATATTTTTTATTTACGTACTTCACATATAATATACATATATGATACATACCTAGATATATTTTTTTTTGCTACATACAAATATCTACATATTATAGGAATAAAAAATAACAAAATTATTGTTAATTTTCATCAAAATTCCTCTGCACATACATATGCACATATATTTACTTTTTCTTATTCTACAACATACATATATATTTATATATATATGAACATATAACGGATTAAAAATGTATAGTACTAACATATTAACTATAGTAATAACAGTATACAGTGAACGGTAAAAGAACTGCTCACTGAAAATATTTCCGCTCGAGTTTCAAAGTCCTCTTTTGATTATAATTCAATTTGAAGAGTAGATGATGAAACGAATAGAGCATTTTTTGTTTCATTAAATACTTTGTTACAAATAAAATGCACTATTCACTTTAATAACTATCTAATAATAAACGCAAAAGGTATCAATGTTCAAACAGAAAAAATTTTAGAAACCAAATTTCTTTTAGGCTCACTGTAAGTATACATATGTATGTATGTATGTGGTAAAGCTTTCTTATACATTACATTTCTGACTTTGAACTTGAAGACAATGAAAGAAATTGTGTTCAAAGATACTTAAGTATTCTGAAAATATGCATGTATGTACATACATGTGTAAATGCAAATATTTCTGTTATAGGAGACAACGTAACTGCCAACTTTTCTATTGAAAATGGGAATTCCCCCTTTATTAAGCAGCATGGATTTGCACTGATTTCAAGTTGACTTGTTACAATAATTTTTCTTATTCGGTTGGCACACATTTCCTTAAAACCACAATTGAAGATACTGATATCTACGATTGACTTTTCAATAATGTGCTATGAATTTCCTACTTAGTTACAATCTCCCTCGCAAAAAAAAAGTATTTTAAAAAAAATTTTAACAGATGTTCAATATAGGTATGGCTTAATATGAAAGGTCTAAGACAAAAACTTATTTAAAAAATTTATTAGTGTTTCACTACATTAAATTACACTACATTCAATATAACAACGAAACGAAAAAAAAATCTGATTTTCTGATAAATATGAAAATGTTTTTTAAACACTTTCTTCAAATTTTAAAACTTTTAGTTAACATACTTAGAAAAATAGGATTTTGGTGCTTGGAGAAGAGTTTATTGTAGTTTGGGCGCTTTGAAAAATTTGTCAACTACATCCAATGGCAAACTCGCAATATTAAATTTCAAGAAATTTCATCAATCGTTAAATCAGCCCCCGATTTAATTCCAGACTCCTGATATTCCCAAAAAATTTATAAGTTGATTGTTTTAGCCGAGCTTCAAATACACGCGTGCACACACAGACCGACCTCTTGCATTCCCTATTATGAAGTAGTAGCATCACATAACAAGACTTTGCATACAAGATTTTTCAAGACTTTGCATACGATTAGGGAGCAATTGTATGCAAAGTCTTGAAAAATTCCAAACATATATATGTAAGTTATCACCGTCTTTAGTTACATATTCAAGTGGTATCAAATTACATCTTCAGTACGATACTAATTTCTGTTCACATGAAAATTGCTGACACAGCGTCTGCAATCGAACATGTTTAAACATGAAGAAATTACGAAATTATCGTTCCCATCAAAAATGCTGACGAAACGTCTATAATTTTGCACGAGGCCGGAAATGAACTTAATTTTAATTACTATAAATACTGTTAGATTTTAAGATATGATTTAGTCTAAAATTGGTGTTAATAAGAATAGAATATTATAATTAAACTATCAATTCGAATTTAAGTAATTGTAAAATTTAATTTTTAAGTAATAGTTGTGACATTGTGTGAAATAAAATTATTTTTTTATAATCGAATCAAGATAGTTTAATAACTGGCGCCCAACGTGACTTGAATCGTGAAATCGCAAAACTCTTCGTTAAATTTTAAAAGAAAAGAAGAAAAATAAGCATATCGCGATAAAAGTGTACCCAACTATAGTGCGCGTATTGTGGAAATCCGAAGTGAAATAAAAAGAAAAAGGAACTGAAGCAAACCGTACTTACAAAAAAGTGTTGAAGATTGTGCCGCAGTAGGACGTTTACGAGAATAAAAGTTCACGTCTAAAAAGGACAAACACAACTCAACCGCTATTCGCATTACTCACCAAGACTCAAACAGATGAATTACGTTTTTTTCCTGTAAGTAGTTTTTCATTACACTTAATCTTAAAAACTTAACTGAGGGAAACTAACTGCATCTCACTGAATAAGCTTTAAAAATATAGAAGCTTCGTTAATTTTAAAAAAATTAAGATTTAAAAAAATTGAAGTGATAAATGAAAATTAAATTGAAAATTTGAAAAATTAATCAATTAACCGATAATAAATTGAAAAATTAAAATTTAACCAATAAATATTTAATACAAAAAATAAAACAAAAGTAATTAAAAATTTAAATGAAACCAGTAAAAAATTAATAAGATTAACCAATTAAATTTTATATTACCAAGAAATATTTAATTAAAAAATAAAACAAAAGTAATCAGAAATTTAAATAAAACCAGTGAAAAATTAATAAGATTAACCAACTAAAAACTTAAATTTAACAAAAAATTTGAAATTAATCGACAAAATTTGAAAGAAAAATATAATTTAAAAGTTTAAAACCGCGTAATAGAATAATTTAATTAGTGAAATTACCTTAATAAAAAGTTAAAAATGGAACAAATAATGGAAGAGCTCAGAAAATTAAATGGAGCCATCAATGCTCAAATTGAACAAAGCAAACGGTTTGAAATTCGCCTAGCAAAACTAGAGGCTCAGTTCAATACACCACAACCGCAGGTAACAAACTTGGCAGCACCGAAAAGTGAAGACGACCTGAAACAAATATCGAGACTTCCGGACTGTGTCAAAGATTTACAAACCTTTGATGGCGATGCAGTGCAGTATGTATCATGGGTGCACAGCGTAGAATCAATTCTACGAGATTACGAAGTTGTCAGAAACAAACCCATATACAGAGCAATATTACAAGCTATTAGAGGAAAAATTAGAGGTAGAGCAGATGCAGCTCTAATATCGTACAACCTGTTCGACGAAGAATGGGCCGCAATCAAGCAGTGTTTGTCCCTGCATTATGCCGACAAACGGGACATACGCACATTGGAGCACCAAATGAGCACACTGACGCAGGGAAGATCAACCATAGATGAATTCTACGCCAGAGTCAACCATCAATTCTCCCTCATAATCAATAAGATCAAGACCGAGAATTATACAAAAGAAACTATAGACGTATTGATAGAATCACAAAGAAACAGAGCACTGGACGTATTTATCCGAGGGCTCAATGGGGAATTGTCCAGGTACTTGATGCTTCAGAAACCGTCAACTCTGCCAGAAGCATATTCAACGTGTCTAGAGCTCCAGAACTATAGTTGCCGAAACTTCGCTATACACAACAGGAATGATAACAACAGAATCACTGTACCATTCAACAAAATGTCCATGAAACGACAACAACCAAGTGCTGGGAACCCAAGGTCGTATCAACCAGAACAGCCATTAACAGTGGAACAACGGAACTTGGCTTACAACATTCAACATCAGAGAGAATCGCAACCTCCACCTAGACCGCCAAAACCGTTAGAGAAGATGGACGTTGACCGATCCATACAAACACGTCAGGTTAATTATATGAACCGGCCAGACAACTACAGGGGAATATACAAGAGGCCACCATCAGTAGGCAACATGCCTAGCAATAAGCACCAAAGGCTATTCAATATGGAAACACTTGAAGACGACGTAGATGACCACCCAGAAGAATGCAGCGAATATGACGAAGAACCAGCATATGCAGATGATGAGGTTCAAGAAGTAAATTTTATGACGGACGCCTTTCAAGCGTTCCTTACTTAGAATTCAAGACAAAAAACAACCAGCTCCTAAAATTTCTAGTCGACACAGGAGCTAATAAAAATTTTGTAAGAGAAGAGATCGCGACAAATGCCAAACCAACAACAAAACCATTCAAGATACGTTCAGCTGGAGGAGATATAACAATCACCAAGAAGATCGGAGGAAGATTTTTTCAGAGTCTGGGAAACAACACCTTCATTGAATTTTTCGTTTTGCCAGGATTGAAGACCTTTGATGGTATAATTGGAGACGACACGCTTAAGAAGCTCGAAGCCATTATAGACAGAAAGAACAACACCTTAAGGATCAAGCCAGATATAAAAATTCCGTTAAAGGCAAAGGCATCAGCTCAAGTCAACACCATCGAAATCAAGGCAGACCATTTACCGAAGGCAATCCAAGAAAAAATTATGGGAATAATAAGGAAATACGAGAAAATATTTGGCCCAATAAACGACAGGGAAATAATAGACACACAAGTGAAAGCAGAAATTAAAACTACTACTGATGATCCCATATACACCAAGTCATAT